CTATAATCGGACTAATATCTTGCTAAACTAAGAATAATGTTACTGATAAGTTACTTAAGGGACGTAAATATCTGCTGGGGTTTTTTTAATAATATTTTATTGAAGTAATGTAAATAATAATGATGTACGCAAAAAGTAACTTACTTATTAAGGCGAACTCTATTGTATATTATTTTAAATAATTTTATCATACATAGATTTATAGAATCGTATATAATTTTTTTACTCGATAGCAAAATAGACATTGCTCCCTGCGTCGAAACTATAAGTACCTAGTAAAAACTAGTAGTGCTCCGCTGCATTTAAAATGAGGAGAAATTGTAATAAGAGGATACATTCGAAATGTTTTGGAGTTCCTGGAATTATCCTTATGCATATTAGCAAGAATATAGCAGGAAATAGGAAAACCAAAAATTAAACTGATCCTAATTAGGTACCTACGTTAAAAAATGTATACAACCTTTTCATATTGTCAGATGATTGTTTATTGCGTAATTAATTAGTTAGTGAATTATAATTATCGTCGCACTTATTTCGACCTCTATTGTATCAAAGAATCCGTAATTAATTTAGAAACGTTTGTTTAGCATTAATATAAATCAGTATTGATTGACTTTATTGAAAAATCGAAATCTACTATAATAACAAACTTTTAACAACAAGTATTACCACAAAAAAGTTTGTTGTTTAAATGATAACTGAGATACTTATGGTCAAGGCTGGAAGAGTTTATGTCTGCTTTACATACCTAACTTGGACGTCACATAATACTACTTCAGAATTAAGGTGTTGTAACAGTATCTACCACGATATTTCAGATTAAAAAAAAACACAACATGATATATTAATGGCATCACCATCACATCAGTTCTGTGTTCTGTCTTGGAAGCTAGTCGAGAAGCGAAGGTCAGTAGTGTTCAAGCGTCATCGTTACACCCAAAATATTCTAAAAATAGTGAGGTCAACGTGACAATAACAGTACAATATAGATAAAAGGGAGTGTTTTTAATGTTAGGGGAGCCCAAGAGGGGATTTCGGGATTTACTAAAGCGCGGCAGATTAATATATAGGGAGATACCTTGTACCCGGTTAAGTACCTCCACAAAATATGAGGCCCATATATAAGGCCGCCCGTGAAGGAGACAGGATCAGATTAGTAAAAAAAAATTGACCATCAGAAATTCCCGAGCGCGTCAGATTAAGGTAGGGTGAGTTAATTACATCCTAAAAAGTGTATATTCCACTAATCTGACAATTTGAGAGTGACGTAAAAAAAGGGGAGGGCAACAAAGTTGTAAAAAAAAAACGTCATCTCGACAGTCTCGAGCGTAGCTAATTTTTTTTTTATTTTGAAGGAAATAATTCAAGAATAATGAAAAATATATAATCTGACGATTTCCGCAAGCCGAAATAACAAAAATTCGTCGATAAAGTTAAATGCGTGCAGCTGCGTGATGCCTACATTTCCTTAAACCGATCGGAATCTACTAAACGGCGTTCTAAATATTTCCCTCAAAATTACATTTCCTGTGAATTTGAACCGATTCGGACCGATAGATTTTGAGAAATTTTGAAAAATCTTAAAAAAATAAGAAATATTTTTTTTAAGTGGTTTCTTTATCGATCAACTTCAAAAACTAATCCGCCTTTGAGCTTGAAAAGCCACGTCGATCGCCACCAAGCTGGTCAAAAGCGGTTGATTCGTTCGAGAGATATCGTGAACGAAAGAAACCCGAAAAAGTGTTTTTTCGGGATTACTCCGAAATTTGCGGTTCGATCAATTAAAATTGCAAAATTACTTATGAGGATGATAAAACTGCGTCGAATGCCGCCAACCGCGTGAAAATTGCTTGATCCATTTAAAAGTTATTGCGGTTTGAAAATTCCAAAAATAGTGTTCTATGAAACTTCTAACAGACTTTCGAGCTGGGAGAGCTCAAATGCATAGAAATATTACTTCTTTGAACTCAGCGAGCTCAAAATATCAATTTTAAGCGCCCAGGAATGGAATTAGCGGGAAGTTGCAGGGATGGCCCTTTAGGTGAACCGTTTTTCTAAATTTTTTTTGTCAGATCAGGCGAATCCCTCTAGATAATCGTCAGATTATGAGACAGTTCGTTTAGAACATAAAGATGAACCACATATATCTTAATCTGACGCGCTTGAGTATTTCAAAATTGCGATTTTTTTTTGCAAATTATGAAAATGGCCGTGGGTTTGCGTCCCATCGAAATCGTCAGATTAGTGAATGAGAGCTTTTTTTTGGTGCACTTAACACTCCCTTATAAAATCTGACGCGCTCGATAATTTTTATTTTTTTTTCATTTTCAACCCTTAAATACAACCACCCGCATCATGCACACGATCAAATTAACATACGTACATTATTAAAAATACGTAGGGCATTGATGCTATCAATATCTGACGCGCTCGAGGATGTCCATGCAACAGTTTTTTTTTACATATTTAACAATCTATAGCCGCTTCCCCCACCGATGAAAAGGTATATATCATATAACATTTTTTTCTTCTTATTATCTAAGCTTTGCATCCCAATAGGTCTCTACGACGCTCGAGTAAATCCCCATTTAGCATCGTGGGCTCCCCTACCATAATGTTATCGTAGCTTCGTGCTGGTTCGATAAATTAGGAATTTATTAGATAATATTAGCTTATGTCATTCGTTAAATGCTTTAGTCTGTTTTCAGTAACAATAATTTATTTTTGTTTCTTATATGATCGGATACATGAAAACATGTAAACATTAAAAAAAATACCCAAAAGTGTAAACAAATATTTAAAAAAATATTTATGTACGATTTCTTAATTTTTTTCCATGGGGGAACACTCTGATTTTTATTTTTATATTGTACTATAAAACGTCAGTTTCAAAATTGACCGTGATGCTAAATTCCACCGACTCGGAGCATGTCCAAACAAATAAAACCAAAGTTACTTATTCTCAAAAAATATCGCTCATCATCCGAACTGTAATACCTACGTCTGTAAACACTTTAATGATTATAGGTCGGCTCGGTGACGGGATGTACTTGCTACCATCGTAAACGCCCTTCAAACTTCAGATTGCCCCACTCTATATATATATTGCATGTATCGTTCGCTCGATGTGAAAGATCTGAATCAATACTGAGCATTGACAAAAAGATCTGGTTCCGTTCGACCCGTTCAATCGAACGATTGATTGATTCAATTCTTTACATCAATAGATTCTAGCTCCAATGTTACTACATTTAAGAATTATGTTCGATTGGCTCTGTCATAAAATTGAAATACCGCATCGTCGGCTCGCGCTTGTTTCGTTCGTTACCTCATGGCTCATTGAGCGAACGAATCATTATCAACGAAGTGACCCATTCGTTAGCGACGATTTAAAGATCTGGTTCATTGGACATACATATTATATACAACTCGGCTTGTTATCAGGGGGCCGAGCCCGAGGCCGCCATTTATAGGAAAGCCGTTAGCGAGACGGCATGTATTTTTCGTGAAATTCGGGGGTTTTTTTAATTTTTAACGACTGACTTGGACAACAGAGGCGATAATAATATACTGCAGTTTTGACGAAAGACATAAACTTGTACCAAACGAGTTAAGTTTCCAATTGGTTTTAGGAAAAGGAGGTCAACTACAGCTTTTATAGAAAGGTTTCCCGGATAAATAGACTGGCCAAAATATTTTGTAGACTTGATTCTGCCTCATATCCCGTGAGTAAGTTTTAAATATATTAGTATTACGTCCATAATAATTATTCTGATTTCATACTAGATTTTATGTGTTCCTTTGTTTACTTATGAGTAAATGCGAAGGAATTTTTCTTACCTCTAAATTATTTGGCCTTGTGCAGAGAAAAACAACAACTGTGCAAAGTTCAGTTGAAGTTCACGAATTTTTATTGATATTTTATCGCTGTCTGAATCGATTTACGTAAATTTTTGTAGTTATTTTGTCTGGGTATTTAATATAAGTAGCATATATACGCCGGTTCGGGAAATTAGTGACCAGTGTAATGAGAGCTCTTGTGGTAGGTGTTAGTTGGTGTTTGAGGGTTATGTTATGTTGGTTTTGGGTTATAGTAAATTTTTCGTTAGAGCTGTGTTTGGGTAGTGCGATGAGTGGCGGTGGGTGGGGTTGGTTTCTGGTGGTACATTGTGGAGGGTCTCGACTTGTTTGGTTGTTGTAAAAATTGTATGGTAACCTATATCTTATGAAGCAGGTATTCCACCTAATTTGGGATGTTTGAAGGTTAACTGGTTAAAGGTACATTGTATTTTTCTTATCTCCGCCATGATTATACAGGTTGGCTCACTCATATTCCACCTAACTTTGGGTACCTACCTGTGTTTGAAGGTTACTGGTTGCGTAGTACATTATATTTTTTACCTATTGCTGGTTTCATACATTATATGTTTACTTATCGCTTGACAGGATGAGATAGGTCACAATGTTAATGACTTTTATCATATTAAAAAATCAACGTATTAATGTTTTGCGATTTTACCAATCGTCTGACAGGATGTGATATTACATTGTATTTATTCAATTAGAAAAAAATCAATGCAATTGAATTGTTTGAAATTGATAGAGGAATGAAACAAAGGATTTATAGGAAATGAGTTATTGATAGATGAGTATCAGCTAGTATAAATAGAAGATTCCACGCCATACTGCTTGTCAATCATACATTGCACAGTGCTGATGCACAAGTAAAAATGTTATTTACAAGTCTTTTGCCGTGGGTGATTGTGTTCTCAATCAAGAGATGAGGATGGATATATTCAACTTTTGAGAAGAGCATTTCACAATCTAAGATTGATTTAGTGATTTAGTGTAAGTAATAACTTAAGTTTGAAGAAAGTTAAGTTACTTAATCCTAATGGAGATCATTTTGTGAAGAATTGGTTGATGAAATTTTACTTTTATGGTGACAAAAGTAATGCTTTTTTTAGAAATATACTGTAATCACTGTACGAAGTTATGAAATGAAAACAAAGAAACAGCTTAATTTAAGCTTATGCGATAGTAATAATCGATTATTACTGTATAAATTGGAAATCACACACTACGTCAAAAGCCGTTCAAAGCGAAGCAGTAAAGCAACAAATAACTTAGAACAATCTTGGTCATCTGATATGTTTGAACAGAAGTTCACTGATGAGAGAGGCTTGGAAATAACTGTAAAAGTACCAAGAGGTCATAGAACTAATAGTTCTCATCGTCATCATGGTTCTAGGGGTGAAGAAATAGATAATGAATTGGCTAAAAGAGTAACATTGATGGAGATGGTAAAATCTTCCACTACTACTTCTACTACATCTTATCCTTTAAGTGAATCATGCCAAAATTTAAGATACATGGAAGGTTAATATTTTGACTATGATAGTTGGATAAATTAAAAACCGGTGAAATCAATGGAACTGGGTGTTTATCTAAAATACCGATTAGGAGTGAAGTAGAACATTAGTTGGAAAACAAATCAAGGTAATGTTTATCTAAAATGTTAATTGTAAGTGTAGAACACTTCGCTTCCATTCCTTATCAATGTGGGAGTCAGTTTCTGTGGTTTTCCTGAATACAGAAAAATAAAGTTATCATCAATAGGTGGAAGTGGTTAATGGTTTGATTATAAAAAATATTAAAATAATATATAAAATGATAACATGGGAACAGGATGGAATAGGGGATATAAATACCAACTCAAACATCAGTGTTCTTCAGTCTCACCATAACTTGTGTGCTAGTGCATTACCTATCGACCTACTCAGAAAACCGTAAGTGCAACTTTTAAAAATAATGTCTTCATCCGCAACCACCGCCTTGACCAAGCTCAACACTTTCGGCAAAAAAACATGGGTCAAATTGGGTGACCTAGAGCTGAACAAGTCATACAAAATAGTCTGGGTGAAAAGGCTCCCCTCAAAGTTTCATGCATCTAGGATGCAAACCATAGTGCACTGGAAAATGGGTTCATTCTTACACTACCTAACCGCTTCGATGACCTAAGTGAAGATATGTTTAAATACATTCAGACGGAGGGGCCCTATTTAATAAATAAAGGGCCAAGCAGAAGATCATGGATAATACACTTTGAGGAGGAGCCCACCCCTACCCCCGAATAATCAAACCCCAACACAGTCCAGCCTGAGCTCACCCCAACCATCCAGCAAGAGAAAATAACTCACCATGTCTTTTTTAATTGCAGTGTGTGTGATTGAGATGAACAATATCCCAGTGAACTTATATGACGTAATGCTAAATGAGAGCAAGCAAGAGTGGATTCAATATATATCGACTAACAGACAATTGAAGTTGTGGACACGTGATATATCACTAATAAAACTACATGGAGATGTAAACTTAATACTCACACAATTATACCAATGTAGTAATGTAATAAATAAAATTAAAGATTTATAGATATAAAGGGGGAGTAGTGGAAAAAAAACTATTAAACTTATTAGGATTTAACTCATTTAACATAGAAGTAATTGGTTGTCCTAAGGTGGAAAAGATTATTGAAAACTTAAATTTACATAATTTAAAGAATTGCTCAGACACAGGTTTTTGTGAGCAAATCACGCACCTGTCATGTAGTGATGTGGAAGTAGGGCATTTGCAAGATGGTTACGGAATTACCAAGAAAATAACTGTAGGTAGGTAGGTACAACATAATGTAAAAACCTACTCGTTATTATAGATATAAAAAAAAAAACATTGTATTCATTTCAATTTTTTTATTATACTTAGGTATAACACTATATTATTGTTAGTAATAAGACTAAAAACATGAACTTATTTTAAGTTTATATATTAGATATAAGTTCTTACGTGTAAGTATACTATTATAGCAATGTAATAAAAACATATTATATTATTCAATCTTGTTTTCTTTATCTATCCAACTGGTTGAATTCAGACCATACCATTTCACTAGAACTTTATCACCTTTTCTTTTCAACACTTTTTCCACTAGGTAGACATCTGATACTTTACTTTTTGCAGCTCTTCTTCATAAAACCCTTCTAGGTTTTCCTCATCCTGAATTGGTAGGTTATGGATAGAGTTATCACTTTCAACACTTGAAATATTTCCGAACTCCAATTCCCCGTAAATCCTTTAGAGAAAACTGATTTATATTTACTTATCCGTACATAGTCACCACAGTTAAATTTAGCTTTTGCTCGTACTTTGATAAAATTGTGAACATTAGATAAGTGGGCATTGGATAGATAATCGTTGACTTTATAGTAAGCCTTTTACACAGCTTTAATACATTTCTTAAATTTATTGAAAGGCAGAGATAAAAGAGCCTCTGGGATTTTATTAAAGAAGAGTATCCATTTCCAACTTTTCACTATTTTTGTATACATACATAATATTTTCATAAATATATTGCGAGGGAAAGGTAAGTAGGTATATTAATGTCCTTGAATTTATCTCTAAGAGATTCCCTACATTTTAAATTATAGATTGCACGAATAGCCCTCTTCTGCAGAATGAAAATAGTTTCAACATCAGCAGCATGACCCCATAATAATAAGCCATAAGTCATTAAGCTATGAAAGTAACTAAAATAAACAAGTCAAGTCATTAGTTAAAGCTAATGATGTTAGATAGATATGATGATGATAGATAATATAAGAATGATTGACTTTGAATAATAATGTAAAATTCTTTAAGACAAATTTGCGCGCCATCGTGTGTGGCAGAATATGCGAACGATTTACGATTGTATCACCTTAACATTTTGTACCATATTCTTGCAATAAATAAATTATTATTATTATTATTTTTAGGATCATCCCAGTATTTAAAGTCTGTATTCGGGATTTATTTTTTCATTACCAAACTTTTCATAACACATCCACCCTTTTTCGCGGAAGATGGTAAGCTTATCTATTTTATGTATTGAGAATACTTGATGCTCTTATCATCCGACCATCAGACAAAAAATTGCGTCGATGTGCATTCGTCATTGTAATAATTTTCCGGTAGTTATCTCTATCTGTCGGTTGAATGAGTGATACATGAGGTTCTCTTTTAAATAAAAGCTCCATTAGGCCGGGGGTGTATAAAAATTTTTCATTCTTGATTATTAAATACATAGTTTTCATGAAAATCAATAACACTATCACCATCATACATGATATCCATCTTGTAGGTGTATACCATAGGGTACTTTTAATTTTCAGCTTCTGGCAAAGGTTGCTGATATTTTTTTATTTCCTCTACAGATCTAGAAATGCTTTTAATCTTAAGCAAGCATGCGTTTAAAACCTCATCAAGCTGCGCCTTAACAACCACATCATTTTTCAAAATAGCTTTATTAACGTTTCTTAAAAGTCGGTTTTCAACATCGATTTGATTTTCATAATCTTTAAGGATAATGGTTTATACTAGTTTTACCCGGTGACCACCTTTCTTTCCGTGGTATGGTGATGGTGATGAGTTGTGTCATGGTGTCCTTGTGACCGTGGTGATCTTCATCGTAATGATGCTTGTCGATAACCATGCTTGCCATGATGGGTTCATGATTCCACTTTCATGATGACCTCCCTTTTTGTGGTTTCCTGATTTCGTGATGGCCGGGTGCTTACCGTGCTTGTGGTGCTTGCCTTCATGAAGGGTCATCGTAGAAGTGATGATCCTTGTGGTAATCATCGTTTTCTCCCCTTGTCGTGTGTTTTTGGCGGTTCGCTTATATGATTCCATCGTGATGATGACCGTGATGGTGTTTCATCCAGTGTTTTTTGTGACCACCGCCATGCTCATGATGATGCCCAGCGTGGTGGTGTTTTCCGTGATCACCATGTTCTCCTTTATGGTGGTGATGGTGTCCTTTGTGGCCCTTGTGTCCCTTTTCTCCGTGTTCATGATGGTGAGAGAGTGTGCTCTTGCACCTCCTTCTTCATCCTGGATTTTCCACTGGCGGCTGTTACCAAGTCTTTTTTGGTATCATTAGTTCCCTGGCGTACACCGCCACAAGACAGAGCATACCTATTGCTACAATAAACTTCATGTTGACTGCTTGTGGTGTTCGTTACGAGATATTTATAGTTCAATCAGTTGTAGATAAGAAAGGTTTGGTATTTTTCGTGCAACATTCAGGGACAAATCAAGTACCCGTTGAACCATGCCACTGCAATGCTTTTCAATTTCATATTCTACATTAATTTCACTAAAATGTTTATTAACTCACTAGTAGGAGATATTATTTGTTGTTTTGTAAAGTAATGTTTGAATAGGTTGATGTTAATTAACATGGTTCTAACGATGCACACTGCTTTGAAAGTGAAATTAAATAGACGAACTTTTTGTACTTTTATGTAAAACTGTAAGCATACTACGACTACTGCAATAACTTAGCATTTAGGATGTGGGATTTTAGAGTACCCCGTGTTACCAGCCTCGCAAAAACATGTATGGACTGTAAAACTACACTCATTGGAGAAACCCCGTTTCATTATTCTCGGATTTCAACATTAACGCAACAATGATGGTGTTAAAGATAAAAGTTTATTTGATCACAGCAACTTTTATAATGCTAGCCCATATCTCAATTCTCAGTAGTATTTGAGTATAGTATTCTAACTAAATCAGTTCGAAAAATAACAAATTAATCAAACTGCTTGTTCATTCCCTTAAACAGTCCCGCTGGAAGATGTAGTTTATTACCTTTATACACTCCATCAATTCCTCAATTTTACTATGAACTTTGTAAAATTGTAATCACACTGGCTCAAGCTCAATTCCATACATTGAATGTGTTTGAAGCCATTGATCAAGTGAAGGAATTGATGGTTTATTAGCATTAATAATCGCTTAACATTGAATAACAAGAATGGAACACATTTTTACAAGTGATAATGTCAGGGATATATCACTATTTTTCAAGAACGGTTCTACTCCAAACACACAACAACAATCGATAGCTTTTATTAATTACAAGGGGAAGTAGAAAAAAACTTTATTGTGATTTTCACCGGAAGTCAATCGATAGGTTATGTAAGAGAGGTGGATGGTCAGACAATTCTTAACTTACGTCTTCAACAATTATTAGAATTAAATTCTACTATGAAAACCGTTTAAATTTCTTTAGAAAAAGATTTAATTACCAAGTGAAAACATTGTATGAAGCCTCCATTTCAAAGTATATAGATCAAACTTCACTTGTAGATGTTGAAATCAAATTTTTACATTAGAGCCTTTTTATATTTATTTTAAAAAATATTACCAAAACCTATTAGAAATAAATTATATATACACCAAACCACATTGTTTTTTTATCTTTACCACATCCTTGTCAGATAAAAAGAATTTTATTAGTATACCTTATAACGTTCTTTTGTGAGGTGGTCAATTTTGTTTTTTAAATAATGTAGAGTGCCCTTTCTGTAGTGTTGCAGTCGCAAACAATCAATTAATTGCTCACTCAAGAACAAAACGTCATAAGTTATTATGTAAGCAAGATTCAGGTGATTACTTCACATACATTAAGATTCAGTCCAGTGTAAAGTTCTATAGAATCAATGGATCATCAAACTATTAAATCCTAAGCTATACTTGTGGAGCATCGGGGAAGGTGAACAGTTACTCACCCTCGAGTTAAAAACATACAAACACATCAAAACTAACTTTGAACTTTTCTGTACAAGTAAGATTGTCATGATGAAAGAGGAAAGAAGAGGTGGTTAGAGATCTAAAGTCATTCAACACGAAGAATGTGACTTTAGACCTTTCATCGAATTTATTATTCTACGAAGAGATTTGTCCCAAATGTTAGGAAATGTGAAGAGTTTCAGGAAAAGATATGGATGGGTTTGGATAAAATTGATTTTAGAAGGAACGTTAATAAAACACTCTTATAAAAGGAAGCTTTATATACCACTTCCTGTTTGATACAACGTAAATTTGTGTGTTAACGTGAAGAACAATGATGACATTTTTTTCTGGGCTTAGTGAGGCTCTCTATCCACCCGTCTCAAACAAACACCGTTTATCAGCACCCGCCATTGAGTCAGTTTTAAAACTGATGGAATTTCTTACAGTGTCTCAGGGTATCAAACGTTCGAATTATTAAATCAATTAAGTAAATGTGTATGGTGTAGAACATGTGGAAAAATGTATTGTACCAATGTTTATATCATCAAAACCTACACTCAACATGTGAACCTATTGTTCTATGAAGATAAAAACCAAAAAGTCACACTATTGTTGGATTAAAAACTTATCCCGTTTTTAGGCTCTCAAACTAGTAAACATGAACACCGTCAATACTTTTGTGATGGATGCTTGCAACGTTTAACATTGAGAGTAAATTTCAACTTCATAAGAGAATAGTTTCAAAAGGCTTTAATAGAATTACCTTCCTCTGAAGAAAAATACATTTAAAAACGTGAGTCATCAACTTAGGCCCATTTGAAAATATCAGACGAAAGCCCTATCGACTCAACTGAACTTAAAAGTACTATTACACGCATAAGATAACCATATAGTTGGTACTACATACATTGTAACTAGATAAGTCACTATCAAAGTTTGTCATGTATCGCGGAATTGTGTTAAAAGTTTGTTGATAATATTTATCTGACCTTGATCATATCGCAGGAATTTTTTCAAAGATACCGTGTGAAAATGTAACCCTAGAACATCAAGAATTATTAAAATCTACTTGTTGTCACATTTGTCATAGATTTCATTGAACAATTCAGAGGAGAGGGTTATTGATCTGAACAGGAAAAATCAAGTTGTCAAGAGTTGTAACTTGAAATATACAAATCCGCTATCCACCAAATAATGGGTATGAAGCATTATTTATTAAAGAACTTGCGAGAGATGGTAAAATATTTCATGCTTACCTTTGCATAAGGAAAAGTATATTTCATTTAGTAACAAAATAAAATTTAAAACTTCCTCCAGAATATTATGGGAGACCTTAAATTTAGCCAAAGTTTAGAGAAGTTAGTTAAAAATCTATCGCCCAATCAGTTTCAAATACTTCCTCATACTTTCCGAACCCTGAACTAATGGACTAATATGCGAAAAGGAGTATTTCCATATGAATACAAGTTGAAGCTTGAAGAAAATTCCCTACCTGATAAACAGTTTTTAAGTGAATTAACACAAACACACATTTCCGATCATGATTACCTACACGCACAAAAGGTATGGAAAATTTGAATGTACTCGTTGGGTGATGATTTATATCTTAAAACAGATGGCTGAAGTTTTTGAAAACTTTCGCGGTATTTGCTTAGGTGTGTACGAACTAGATCCATGTAGATATCTCACAGCACCAGGTCTCTCGTGGGATGCCATGTTAAGACAGGTGTAAATCTTGAACTTTTACTGATTACGAGATGCTTCAATTCATACAATCAGGCATTCGAGGTGGGATCAGTCAAGTTTCAAAAAGGTATGCTAAATCCAATAATAAATTTACGGATCCCTCCAATCGAACAGCAGGTGAAAGCAATTTTATAGTGTATTGGATTTAATAATTTGTATGGTCATGTATGCGTCAACACCTACCCCATTCTAACTTTGTATGGTTGAGTGATTGTGAAATTAAAAATTTGACATTCTCGCTCAACGATCTGATTCAGATATAGGATATATTTTAGAAGTGGACTTGGAGTATCCACATTCCCTTCATGATCTACACAATGACTACCCGTTTTGCGCTGAAACCAAAGCTCCACCTAATGGTAAAACTAAGAAGCTATTGCTCACTCTCAACGACAAACAAAACTATACTATTCACTATATGAATTTGAAACAATGTATTGAAAATGGATTTGCAAAAAAATCCACCGAGTCTTATCTTTTCAACAATCCCCATGGCTTAGATCTTACATAGATTTGAACACTACCAAACGGCAAGCAGCTACAAACTCATTTGAAAAGGATTTCTACAAACTAATGAATAACTCGATTTTTGGTAAAACCATAGAAAATTTGGGAAAAGGATTGATTAAAACTATGTGGTAGATGAAATTGTAAAACAAAAACTAAATGTAAATAGACTTGAGAGATATATCTCTCTTCCTAATTTTCATAGCTGTAAAATTTTCTCTGAGAATTTAGTAGCTGTGAAATGAATAAAACTAAAATAAAGTATGATAAACCTATTTACTCACTGTTTTAGAACTTTCAAAATATTCATGTATGAATTTCAATACTGTATATGTACCTAAATATCAGCAAAATTTCAATTACTGTACACGATACTGACTCTTTCATCTACAATATTAAAACTAACAATTTTTATGAAGACATTAAATGGATTTGAAGCTAGATTCGACACCTCTGATTTTTCAAAGGATAACATTTACAATCTTCCTTTAGTTAATAAAAAATTGTTGGTTTAATGAAAGATGAAATAATGGTCTAAGATTTAAGGTCTACATCAAAATTACATTACATTATAAAGATATGATATAAGTACTTGACTATTAAAAAAGAAATAAAGGCACATCTGTGCAATGTTAGAAAATTAAACTTTGAAAATTATAGGAATGCCCTTGATCTGATTTTAAACTCTATGATAAATGCAATTTTTAGGAAAGAATAACAATTTTTTTTAAAAAAAGTCCTCTGTGGTAATGATGATAAAAGATAATTTGTCTGAAGATTGTATAACCACTTTAGTTGGGGGCATTATAAAATTAAATAAAACACAGTTTTTTAAAGAATTTTTTTTTATTTTTCCCTAGCTTTTATCATTGAATGAACAATTTTTATTAAATTTAAAGAGATAGGACACCTACCAAACCATTTGAGATGCTCAAACCAAGGATGCTTCCTTCCCAATCCATCAAAGCCACCACAAAAAAAAAGTTATATTTAAGCCAATGTAAAAATCAATACAGTTCCTGTATTGGTATGTAAAGCAGTCAGAAAACTCTTCATTGCTTTTTTGAGGTGTAGTATGGAATAGGGCACATTGAGGGGAACTGTCTTATTAAAAACAAAATTAGACAATAAACTTTACCTACTACTAGATAACACCAAATTACCACAGATAATAATAAAAATCACTTTATTTAAAAAACATTTGGTACTTACATTCTAAAGGTTATAAACATATAATATGAACGAATGTTTACTTAATTTATATATGTAATAGTAATTAATACTAATTATATTACTAAAACAAGTCAAACCTATTGAACCGCAATTTTTATAAAAAAAACCAGAATAGATACTGATTAAATTAGAAAGAAAGAGCGAACTCCAAATGTAACACCAAAAAGCCAAACCACCGCACATACATCGATACCCAAACAAGTCTAACGAAAAATTTATATAAGCCAAAATACCAAATAACATAACCCTCAAACACCAACTAAACTACACAGAGAGCTCTATTAACTGTATAAGTGTTCAAGGTTTGTTATTAAAAATATTTATACTTTTAGATGTATTGATATTGCGAGCTTGATGTAACATTGTAACCTCGTAGATAGTTCCGAAGTGGAATGTCACACTCGTTTGTAGTAAGTAGTTTTTATCAATTAGTACTAGTTTGTAAGTAGTTTATATACTCCAGGTTGAAAGCTCCAACTGAAAAATTATAGATGAGTGAGGTTGTTTACAAGATATGATGTGTGTGTGGTCGGTCAGACGAGACAATGGCTGGAAAAACGGATGTACCAGCATGAGTAGGTATGATTGCAGAGCAATTAATGTTGCAAATAAGGATCATACTGCGCTTGCCAAGCATCATTTTGAGACATCACATAATTTTGTATTCCATAATGTGGAGATTATGAACGTAGAACCAATGTACTGCAAGAGATGTGTCAGCGAGATGATACATATCACATTAAATGACACCGTGAATCACCGAACAGGAACTAGTAACTTGAAAAATAATTCATTCCTAATTTCTGTTTTAATTTGAGTTTCGTCTGGATTTTTTTTTTATTTTGACAACTTGTGGTAGTGTGAGTTTTAGATTCAAATGGTTTTTTTAAAGATTTTTTAAATTGATGTATTATTTTTATGGTTAATTTGGTGTGAGTCTTAAGAGAGGCGTATTGATCTTGTGTTTTTTTGTGTTGTCGAAACCTCAAATTATTAAATGAGTACAGAAAATAAAGTAAAAAGGGTGCGAACCCCTAGAAGCGTTCTACAGTAGAAAACTTGGGTGAGGTTAATATTAATGTCAACCTTCAACGATCATAATTAAATTTTTAAGGAATCTGAAATAGTGGCAAGTACCAAACTCCGCAATACGGCAGAGTTCCAGTGTTTGCAGTAAGACCATGAAACAAACTTATGCAGATGGCTGAAACACATGAGCTCAAAATGAAGCAACTTGCCGAAGCTCACGATTGGTCTAGACAGGAGCATCTACTGAGGCTCAAATTATTAGCCTTAAACCCTCTTTTAAATGAAATATAAATTTTTATTTATTTCATGTCCTTAACTATCCTCACCTATGTAAATAAACAGCCTTAAAAATATGTTTCTATTTGACGAATAATCGATGTGTATGACGTGTTGAAATAACTAAGCCGTAAAAATATGTATTGCTAGTGCTACTATATATAATTTGGCATTTTCTAATGACACTTAGAAGCCATGAAGAAGACACCTAAATCGTTGCGTCCAAACACCATAACACCGTTCTATTGTATTCCTTGTTCTTATATGGGAATGATTGTATGCCCCCTCTTGTGGTAAACTGGGTTTTTTAATTGGTGTGAATAAATATGGAATCAATGCATAGCCTGAATCGCCAAGAAGCCGTCCTTGGATCTCTCCACTGTCCATTCTTTGTCTGAGTTGACTTTCTCTAAAGATACGGCTGTCTTGAGTACTGCCTCTCCACCGCGCCACGACATCCATAATACGCAATGTTGCACCAAACACATACTACATTCAGGGATACACATCCTTTCCTGTTTATGTAGAATTGCCCACTTTCACCACCAATTCTTTTAATTCTAACATTTGTGAAGTCGATAGCCCTATCACGCCCTTAAATCCACTTATGGATCGAAACCCTGCAGATACTTCTCCCTGTTCACGGATTGTCGCAGGCATTTTTGTAAATTAATTTTATAACGTACAATTGAGATACTTAATGACTTAATATCATTGATATAATTATAATTATTATTGTTACAATTTGTTCCGATTAATTAATAAAATTTCGCAACGTATGACTACCATTTTGGTTAAAATAAATATGTTGATAAACGTAGCGCTACGTTATCAACAAAATTAAAAAGCACTTGGCGCCAGACTCTTCCAAGTCTGTAGATTATCAGACTCAATTATTTTGTTGTGACTAGCTCATTTGCAAGTTTTTTTCCAGATGAGAATAATTAAAAGGGATCAAAGAAGATTTTATGTAATTCAGTTCATAGAGTTACCTTTCGAGGGCATTGATGACTACGTGTGTGTGCCCTATTCCTGGATAATATTTCTAAAATCTCCAAATCGGAAGATAGTTGTGAATTACCCGAACAACGAAGATCCCTTGGAAACGAGAGAACGCGTTAGAAGAAAAGAGCGACCAAATGAGTCATGGAGGTTCTATATGGCCTACCTTAAATATGAATCAGGTGAAAAAATTACTATTGTTAATAATCAATTTCCATTGTGTTGAATTATTAATTGATAAAATAATCCTGGAATAAGTTACCATTGAAATTAATTATTTTTTCAGATAATTTAAATGATGCTGATTTATGGATTGCGAGGAATGAAGAAGTATCAAGTAAAAAAGGTAAAAAATATAAGAAACCTCAAGTGTTATGTCTGCTACAGGTCTAATTTCTTAACGATTTATTAATGTTTCTCGTTTCAGATACTGAACCAGAACCTCAACTGAATAGAAAGCTACGAAGTGCCAATCAATATATTTGGCCAGAAAGGAACTCAGACAAGCCTTATATAACAGTGAAACCCTATAACAATCCTCGAAAACCATTACCAAGAACTTCGATACGACGACCGCTATCTCAGGAATCTAAACAACACCTGAATAACAAGTGCTTGAAATCAGATGAAAATCCAGAGCCTGAGGAGGTCATTACTGAGCACATAACTGCAAAGTCTGGCAGCTCAAAACGAGAACAATCAGTAATCATCACTGGCAATCAGGTGATTCAAAAAAATCAGACGAAGACAAACTACGCTTCCAATGGTGAGATAAACGCCGAGCGGAGTGCTCAACCTGAAGTTATAAAGGAAAATCAGTCAGTTGTCCTTTTAGTTCCTTCTACTTCAGCAAAACTTCCGGTTGAGCATCAACTTTCACTGCAGCCGCCAACCGAGCAACAACTGTCACTGCAGCCTCCAAATGGTCGAGAACCTTCACCGCAACCTCCAATCGATCGAGAACCTTCACCGCAGCCTCCAATCGATCGACAACCTTCACCGAAGTTTATAGCTGAGCAACATTCTCCATCAAAGTCTTCAGGCGAAAAACAACCTTCACCTGTAGGCGAAGACTATCAGCGACCTGTTAGCATATCTACTGTAGATCTGAATGGATCTAAGGGAGATCTCGATAGCTGTAAAAACGTTTTGCCTGAGCCTAACACGGATAAAAGACCATCAACTAAAACTTCTCCGAGCAATTTCAAACCGGCTCATCAGCCTGATTCGATGAACGAGAGACCAACTCCACTGGTTCGTCATGAAAACTCACTTCCCGAGCCGCACTCACGAGATGTACCCAATGACTGCCAAAAATCTCAACTTCAATGGATTTTGACTTCGCCAAACGTAGTACCGAACTCCCCCGGTACATCTAACCAGCTTTTTCAGCAATATGGATGCCCTCAATTACAAAATTTTTCAGTTAATAGCACTTCGAATACGAAATTCCAAATCCAAGGATTCAGTGGGAAAAATTATATTGGAGTCGCTGATAACCACTCATTTCTGTGCTCTCAAGACATTATTAATAGCATGCCATCTACTTCTCATCATGAACCCTCTTCGGAAAAACTGACTCAAATGTTAAAACAAAAAGCTAGACAACAACCTTCAGCAGTGAAGAAAGTGAAAAATCCCGTTGATAAGAAAACTAACCTAGAGGGTATCGCAAGAAATATTACAACCCTACAATATCCACCAAACTCAATGAGACAACTCGGCTTACCTGGTAGTTCAACAGTCGCACAATCTGCACAATTTGCTCAACATCACTTACGACAGGCACAAATTGATGGATCACTCATAAATGACGATAGACATGCAATGAGAGATAACTTTATTTATCAGAGAGATCCCTGTCCCCAAGGTATGATGAAAACATCAGCCGCACAGAACCTCTTAAAGTTAGCTCACCAGTATAACCCTTTTTGTGGGATATCACATGAACAACAATATTTGCCGACTCGGGACGACTATCTGCAGCAATACACACATCTTCAAGATACGCTTAGAAGGCCAAGCATGACTCCAACACTTGATCAGATGGCTTATTATCAAAATGCTATGATGAACGGAGGATCCGTCAGTCAACCGAACCCGATCAACCAGCCCATTCAGTTTCTTTCCCAAAATGTAAATCATTACGTACCGATTAACAACGCGTACTCACAAGAAGTAAAGAGCCATGAACTGATAAAGAGATATACTGACGGAACTCACATTATTCACCAGCCTATTACTCCCAAGGAAGTGAATATTCAATTTCCTGCACATAACTTATCAAGCCAGTCACATCAGGATGCCGAACATCCACAAAAAGAACAAAGTCAACAGAATTATCGAGACCCACGTACAACAAACACACAAAATGGCCTTCCGCTCAAATCGATACATAGATCTCCTATTCCTAAGCCTCGAAAAATCACTAGGAGATCACGATCACTCTCTACCTCGAAGACTCCAAGTCAGGCACTTCAGGATGCTCAGAGAAGCTGTTTAATGCGAGAACTGAATATACAGGAAACAGTAAATCAAAGTTCTACAAAATCTAATAATACAAATCTAGCAGCTATTTCTGAAAACCAGACGGAAGAACTAGCTTCTTCTACGGAAAACATTAAAGTTCAACATATACCATCATCTAACCAAATACAGGCAACACAATTTACTTTAGTTCAAAATGAGCATAACTGCCAATGCTCTGGTATGAAAAAAACAATGATTAATCGAGCTACCGAAACAGATTTAATGATGGATGTCAGTCACTGTGTAGAAGCAATCGCTGGACCTTCTTTTTCTGAAAACACTTCAAGAGCAGTGGAAAGTGTGTGTCAGACGGATGAATGGTTGGAAAAAGACGAAGGCTCACATTATCAAGAGACATCTTCAGATTCTGAAAATTCAACAGACAACGATATTGAATCAGAAAACGAAGTAGTTCCAGAAGCTAATCAGGCGACTCTGACAGCTGAACAAAACCTTACACAGGAAAATCAACATAAACAATCCAGAATAATTGTTGAGCAAGACACGTTGGATATAATTGGTACTCTCTTTACTCAAATGGGAGCCAATTTGTCTCTCACACGTGACATGTTCGATGACTTACGCATGTCCTACCTCGTAAGTGCACAAACATACAAAGAATTATTAAAAAACGTCGATAAATTGAACTCGATAGAGCCCCTCCAAAATTCTGCGTCTCCACCTAACAATGTGATATCACAAGTTACTCAAGAAATACCAGCTGGAGACAACGATAACACTACTAGTGTGGACAATGCAACAACTTCGATTCATGAGCAAAGAGGTACGTTCTCTCTGCCACCAGAATATGATCCAAATGATACCAGGTGGACTCTAAAGTACCGAGAAAATAAGCGAGGACTCGTCGAGCTCATACCTCGAACTGGAGTTTACGTCAAAAGAAAAGAGCTGATACGTTGCAAACGGAATTCAAACGACGTTAGAACGCTGGTACGCTTGCTGTTAACAGAAGTTTTCAGCCAAAACGCTTTACGTGTGTGCTCATGGACAGGTGGAAAAGCAAAAGCTTTTAATTCCGCGGACATTGACGTCAGGCCAGGACTAGATGCAAATGCGAGAATGGTCCTGCTAACATTCGTTGAACAATACGGGGTCAAATGTGGTTGGACTATAGCCAACCCATCAGCTGTCATGAGTACTATTAGGTCCAAGATTAATGACATAAGAGCCAAGTATCAGCAGACATGCAAAGCTTTGCATGTTAAATAAATATAGATTAGAATAGTAATTTGTAATTATTATGTAACTGATTACAGGTCATAATTATAAGTAGAGTATAAGTTTAATTAGTGGTTGTTTTTATCTGTTAGATTAGTTTAGGTTTTGTAGATTAACACTAGGTATATTCTTTATTACATTGGAGCGATGATTAATAACCGAATCTTTTCAAGTCTGCCGCACTGCCTCAAGCTTAATAGCGTCACCATACATGTGTAAAATTATTATTATTAATAAAATTTGTATACTCATCGAACTAGAACATTGACATCTCTAATAAAACTTGAGACTAGTTCTTTATTGACTCAATAAGGTTAAGTGCTGTTGACAGAGACCTTTCAATTGATGATAGTGTTATTCGATAGTACCAATTCAATGATTAAATTACTTTCCTAGAAAAATTAATAAATTACATAGATATATTTAGGTCAGATACTTTATTTCTACAGCTGGACGCACCCGCATATAGAACATAAATAATTGAAGTAGTTTAGGTTGTTCGCTTCACATGCAAGCTTTAGAGCATTAACTTATTTTTGGTTGATAAAAAGACCTGATTAAGTAGTCTTGATTAGAAAACATGAACATTAGTATGTAACGAGTCCCTGTTATGTTAACTAATTTCAACAGGAAAATCATTAATTGAAGAATCGTTGAACCATAATCAATTATAAGTAAACTACCTAGATATTGTATTAACATCCGATTATAGTCCTATGGATTCACCAGTTGAATAATGTTTCACATCGTCATTGGTTTACGGTCCGTTTAATAATTCGATACCACTGTATCTTACATGGTAAAAGTGACATTATTCATAAACCTCATGCGATCAACTATCAAATAAAACGTTTAAATTTATGGGCCCTTAACGTTGGCTAACTCTATTACACCACCTGCCCCATCATGCTATATTATGTCATATCAATGGCTTCGACTATTAATAGTCACGAATAGAGTTACATAGTACTAGTAATTAACCCATTAGTATCGATCGTTCAGTCAGAGGGCGTAGACGTACCCATGACGTTTCCCCCTCTTTCTGTCTCATGTTCCTATAATAACGAACGGTAAAAATTGCTTGTTGTAAACATCACTCTGCTAGGCCTGTGTCGGTCGTTCATTTCTCGCGACCCGGGTCGATCGTGACCGATCACACCCGTGACCGAGTCAAAGGATTCGATCGGACACCGTTCGTTGAGTGCAAAACAAAAGGCGGCGACCGGCGTAGAGCACATTAAATGACCATCGTTCAACAATTTCGTAGTTTACAGGAATTAAGCTGGGTTCAGTACCCTGGTATAAAAACTTCCTGGTATAAAAGCTATAAAAATGAAAAATATTTTATTAAAATCCAATAAACAAAGAAAATTATGATTTAGAAATAAAACGGCACCCCTACGAATATATAAAACAATACTTACTATTTTTTAAATATCCAAAGCGAAGTTAAGAGTCTAAATAATCACAATCTCCAAATAATAACTTTAAATAATAATAATTGACTCTATAAATTTAAATGCTTACACAAATCATAAGTGAAATAATTACAACGGCGATTGTTTACATGTAGAATTTGACTGTAAACAAAAAGCGTGTTAAAATAGCCCATAATATCTATGTGTTACGAACATTTTTTCCTTGATTCGAGATACGAATGAAAATTATTACTTTCGCACCTAAGTATTAAAGTTCAATATAGCTTGACACTAGTTTCGATCTTCAGAGATTAACCGAGTGTATGTAAATCGCGAATATTCTATGAGACTGAGAGTCGATAGTAACCGAGGAGCTACCATTTTATAGCGACCTCTTTGACCGCTTCGATCGCACGGTCCGGTCGTCGGTCAAACGTGATTGGGATATAGCGGCTGTGAACGATTGAATCAATCACGCAATAGTTGGGACTCGGTCGTTTTGACTCGGTCGTTCATAACCCAGTCTTGCCAACTTGGGGGTTTTCCCCCCAAATTTAGGGGTGATCAAGATGTCCAGGGGTTTTTAGGGGGTACTTTAAATTTATATTAAGCTTCGAATGCAATCAACAAACTAAACCAAATATAAAATCCAAGCCTGGCTACAGCTTAAATATCGAAAAACAATAATTTCATGTGTCAAATTTGTTCCTTCTGACCATATGATCAAATCATTTAATGTACGATTTCAAAAATATCAGCAGCAGGAAAACGCAGCGCGATATCCAGGCCGCAACGTATTTTGTATCCATATTTGAAATTACCTCTCAAACCAAGTGTACTACAAAAACTTTAGGGGTTTTTGATCGACATTTAGGGGTATTTGAAGTTGGTCCTAGGGGGAACATTTTGTTGGAGTTGGCAACCCACACAGGACTAGCTTGTTGTAATTTGTAAACATCACTGACTCAATGCATGTGTCGTTCGCTCGATCTGAAAGATCTGAATCAATACTGAGCCATTGACAAAAAGATCTGGTTCGTTCGACCCGTTCAATGGAACGATTGATTCAATTTCTATATCTTCAATAGATTCTAACTCCAATGTACATTAAAGAATTATATTCGATTGGCTCTATCATAAATTTGAAATACCGCACCGTCGGCTCGCGCTTGTTTCGTTCGTTAATCTTTTCTCTCATAGCTGACGTGTCCTCGGATCGCTACGGCTCGCCGCGACCTCATGGCTCATTGAGCGAACGAATCATTTTCAACGAAGTGACCCATTCGTTAGCGACGATTTAAAGATCTGGTTCTTTTGAACTGTTCAATCGCGAACGACACATACATTGATCACTCTGTTCACGTAGTGGACAAATGTGTCTCGTAAAAAAATAAGTAAATTCATTTCATTTTATTATTTTCAGCAAGTTAGACGACATGTGTTAATACATACTGCGTGATATTGCCATCAACAAAAAGATAGGATAATACGATAATAATGAAGGTGAGAATTTCTTGTTTGCGTTGTAATAACTACATTTGATGCTTATCTAGCTGAGCGTAACCCAGAGGAGAATACGAAATAACAAAGCAGATTCAAGGCCATATAAACGAAACAAACGCTGTCGCGTAATTTGTTGGGGCTTGATATGTTATTAGAAATATGTACCTATTCTTCCAGGAAGATGTTGCTGTTGGGTACACATACGTAGTGGTACAATTTTTGCAGTTACCGTATGCAGATATTGGCGACTACAGTTGTGTGCCTCACTCTTGGATACGAGGCCGCAGAGCGACAGATAGGAAGAGCCTAGTTGCATATCCCGATGAATCTCCATCGATAACTAAACTGCGAGTTATGAACGGCGATGAACCATCGGAAAAATGGGAACTCTATATAGCAATTATAAAACTTGAATCACGTGAGTTTTTTGTTGAATGTTTGACCTTCAATACATTGACTCGTGAAAAAATTACCATACTAAATTACGATTTAGTCAGCAATTAGTTAAAAATCTAAATGAATAATCAAGTCGTATTTCTTTTAGATTCATATGAGAATGCTTGTGAGTTTATTATGGAAAAAACTTATGATGCTTCTAAGAATAGATATTCGGACGTAATGAGAATCGGTGAGTATCTGTATTGTTGACAGCTATGCGAAATTACTTTGATAGATTTTATCGTTAATGATAATTACACTATTTTTAAATTGTTTTAGATAATGAACTTTTGCCAGCTACAACAACAAAACGATACAGTCTGCCACTGAAAACGATCAAGCTGCCAGTCCCTCAATCAAAAAAGAATAGAAATAAACTGAAAGGAGTAGTGATGAAGAAACCTTATGAAAGAGAACACCAAGATCAAGCCTCTCGTGGTTTTGGTACAAGTTCTGACAATTTGTTACTCAGATATCCCTATATTACGCAAATACCGGAAACGGATAACGGAACCCAAGCTAACATTCTGGGAGCTTGCTCTCGAAGCACGGGAAAAACACTTCGTACTTCAAAGGATCTTCTCACGTTTGTGAACCAAATCTGTGATTATTCTCAGAAACCACAAGAATACCAATCATTGTCAATTCATCATAAACATTTACATCACCTTGCATTGACTCGAGGAATACAACACAAAAGGATTCCAAATCTACGAACCTTTACTCTTGATGTTCCAGAACCTCTGATCAAGGACCCAGATATCGGCTCAAAAACCTCGTTTGTCATTCCAAACCCTACTAATGTACCTAACCAGTTCTGTCAGCTAGAGACTTCAGAGTCATCACCAGTTATTCAAGAGCATCCACAAGTTTTGCCGAAACAGAAGACACCTGGCCATTCCGCAGAAGTGGAGTGTGCTACTTCCAAACCTACTACACATAGTAAAATGACGGGTGCTTCACATGCATCGATTGCCTGTGCAAATTCAACAGAGCATCAGGATTCAATTGTAGAAGACATGGTCGTTGACGATTTGACTGAAGCGAGCTGTATTGAACAAAATGTCTTCTCTGGAACTACAGCAGAGAAAGAGTCCTCTGCTAATTCAAAAGCTCTGGAAGAGGCAAATCATTCAGGGCAGACCGAAGAGAGTTCTATGGAGGAAAAATCACCGATGGTTGAAGCAGTTACGTCGAGTGGAATATTGTCGTCGCAAGATGTTGATTGTGATGAGCAAAGTTACTTTTCAGAACTAAGTTCAGACGAAATTATAACTACTAGTCCAAAATCTAATGAACAAACAAACCAATCAGTTATTTCTGTATTGAACCAGGTAGATGTCTGGGCGGATCAATTATTTGATCTTTTTCAAAAAATGAAAATCAACTTCTCGGAAACCTGTCAGATAGCTCATGATTTGCACGAATCATTAGTTCAGTCCCAGAAAGTAATCGAATGTATGGCAAATGCATCAGAAAATTTGCGAGCATTGAAGACAGGCAAAGTCGCTGTAGTGACGTCTAAAGAGGTTACGACGGAAGTTCAAAAAATAGCTGAAGAAAATCAAGCTGAGAGAAAAGAGGAAGAGAACCCTGATGACAGTATGGAGGAAGACAAAGAAGAAGATAACGATGTGGACCCTAAAAGTAGCGTAAATGATGATGATTGTGACAGAGCCATCAAAGATGGGAAAGATCAGGATAGAAATAATAAGGTTCGTGGCCACATTCGAACCTTCGTATTACCTCCGGAATACGATCCACATGACACCAGATGGACACTGAAGTATCGTGAGAATGATCCGAAACTTAACCTGGTTGAACTTGTTCCTAGAAGCAATGTGTTTATTAACTCTCTGAAACTAGCGCATTGTAAGCTTGTTGCAAAAGAGAGTAAAGAGTTAGCTCGAATGTTATTCGTAGAAATTTTTTCCCGGAGTGCGTTAAGTGTTTGTTCATTAACGGGTGTCAGAGCGAACGCTTTCGATATAAGCGGCACAAATGTCAGACCTGGGTTAGACGAGAAGGCGAGAAAAACTATATTAACGTTCGTTGACGATCATGCATTAAAAAAAAAATGGGGTCCGTTTGACCCGCAAAGTATCACTAATAGCTTACGCAGTAAACTTCAGGATATAAGAGCTAAACATGCTAAAACAGCGTGACGCTTTATTCTGGATAAAATATACTTTTTAAAAGTCATTGATTAGTCAGCCACGGCCTATTTATTGTTCCTTTAGTATAAGTTTGATTTTAAATATTAAGAATACATGTAAATATATACTATTGTTTCTATCAGAATCTTTCATTCCTTCATGGAAAAAATGTATGTTTTGACTACTTATAATAAAAATATATTTCGATTGATTTATGATATATTAGCATAACATAACAACGATAGAAGCCAGGATTTATATAGTTGAAATGTATTTATGTACATTAAATATACTCTTGTAAGCTTTCGTTAAGGAAACTACTATAGGTACATTAATTTATATATATCATGTGTAATCATTACGAAGACCATTAACTTGTAAAAGTATTTAGCGATCATCGCAGCCCCCTGCGCATTGTTTTTTAATAAAAAAATAACACGAAAATTCCGTGACTGATGATGTTAATTGACTTAGAACAAGAAAACTGTTTATAACTCACTCGGCAACAGTTATTATTGTAGTTATTTAAAGGGATCAACCAGTGTTATGGTGTCAAGCTTTTGATTGTTAGAAATTCGTTAAGATCGATTTAATGTGAGATAAAAAGTGACGAGATTATTCAAAACGTAGTTATAAATTTTTATTCACATGATTTATAAAAATTCTTTTAAGAGCCAGATTAATGGAGTTGTGGTAGATCAAAAAGCAATAAACTGGATTACAGCTACGTGTAAACAGCTAATAATGGTGAACTGTGAAAATTCGATTATTCTAATAACAAATATGTTAAAGGTGAAATGGTGTAAGCGCTGAATATATTCCTAAATATCTACGTCAATGACAAATTTCTTATGCGTCACAGCAATTGTATGAAAACTATTCATAAATCGTAAGCTAGACATGGCGCTGACGTAAAATTCGTCGCATTGTTTAAGAATTCTTTATAATTTATTTGTCAAAGTTTTGATTATGATTCTCGTTTTGACGGTACAAGGACACTACGGGTGACATAGTTATATACCAAATCTGAATCAGGATGGTTTATAAATAGCGAATTTTTGAGTTATTGCTAGGTTAGTCCGGGACAATATAACAAATTAAGAAGCTTTTTGAATGATGAACAAAAATACTGAATGAAATCTCAGGATATTCTCACTTACAGCTTTTTATATTTTCGCTTTATAATTGTATAGTGAGACAATTTATAAAGTGGCATGTAAGTCCTTTAAATTTTACGTTTGAAAGCTTTACTAGTTGATTTATAAAGTTTGGTACAGCCTATCTACGCACTATCTTAAGCTTCACCCGTATACAGACTACGTCAAACAATTAAATTTTATTTTATTAACGGAAATCAGCGTTAGAACGTAAATTTCTTTCCCAATATATTTGTACATTCTCCTCTTGATTTTTGTATTGTTAAGAAATGTTTCCAGATATTTAAAAAAACCGCTTTGTTTTAAAACTATTTGTGATTGCTAAATACATACGGAAATATTTTCTAAGTGTCTCGCATTGGAGTCAAGTGCACGACCTCGCACAAACCAGAAAGTGTACGGAAGATTACTTTCGAATAAGTCAATAGCATTACCATTGGACCATTAAATATAATATTTGGCATTTTGGCACCATAGAAATCAGAAAAATTTAAATTTAGCGTAACACAAATATTTATACATTAGTGAATAATTAGTCACACTCGTAATAATTATAAATCATTTTCTTCAGCCCGACTAGTACACGGTGGCTTAATTAGTAGTCTTGCCACTCCGTTTTGAAAAAGAACTCATCTGTCTTTTTTCCTCACAGCGTAAACACAATTGGCAGAGACGATAGAGTAATTAAAAGAGTACACCCCATGATCAGTCAATAATGATAATGATAGCAGTCATGTCAATTGGCAGGTCAGTTACAACCGTATAAAGAATAACTAATATTTATTTAAAAAATATGCAAAATGGACGGAAGATAAATAGAATAAGAAATAAACTTATTACATATATGCACTGTACTTTAAATGGAAAGTCTTCTTTGCTCAAATCACATTTGACCTGACAAACATCTAAAACATAATTGAGGTTAAAGGAAAGCGATTATAATGATTGCTCTAGTTCAGATATCAAAACATGTCACCATTTGACAGTTGACACTTTAAAATTGACACAAACTTTCTCCGAATGAATCCCGCCAAGTAAATATTACTGAATTTTATTTTTTTCTCTCACGCTGGCCTGCTTCTTTTTAACACATATTTGTAGTTTCTTTTTTAGAATGCGAGCAACGAATGCACGAGTTACCTGTATGCCTCACATGTTCATGGCAAACAAGGTATAAGTGCATTAAATAATAATATAATACTTATAACTTATAAGTAATAACTTGAGTTTTAACTTATCGATCAGTCTTTTACTTAAGACTATCAAAATTTTTATGAACCTATGCAAACTTGGATTTTACTTGGCTAGATTGACATATGTTCACAGAAAACGGCCGAACCCAATAACCTATCTCAATCCATAATCCACCATCTTAGATAGTAATCTTAATCCAAATGTTGTAAAAAGTGTGCCAATAACCGATCGACGGTCTACGTGCTATTTTGGTACGATATAAAGTATTTTTATGGTTTGGTTAGTGAAAATGCGGGTTGCCAGAAGCGGGGACGCACGACATTGAATCAGCCCATGACCTTATAAAACGAATAAGTTCGAATGCACAAGCGAAAACTACAATACACTGTGAGGTAATACAAGCAAGAGACCATGAATGCCGATATTTTAGAGTCGTTATTTATATTTTACTCATGCCGTGAGCAATCTCTAGAGATTGTGGTTTTTTCGCGGCCCTGGCCCGCATTTGTGATAGCACCATCATGTCAAAACGCTATTTCAATCTAATTTAAATATTTAAACGGATTGTTTATATCTAGAAACAAGATGATAACGAAATACACTCTTAAGTCACAACCCGATTTGAGGGCGGTCAAGAATCTTCATATCGATATCGGGTTTGACAGCTACTAGTTTTATGTTTGACGTTTTAAAAATTTAATGATCCAAAACAACTACAAATTAGATAAGATAACGGTTATATGAAACAATGACAACAAATTCGTTCACAGCCAGATCTTAGAAGAAACATAAATTAACATACAAAATTAATCGGATAATGAATCCAATTTTAATAATTAAACAAAACAGGGGCGTAGGGTCTTGGCCTATGTTTGTGTCATCTAGATTGCGTTGGTTTTTTAGTAGCCTTAGTCGTCTAATGACCCTCGTCTGGGGTACATTTGAAGCTACTTTATCTATTCGATAAAACAAATATTTATTGATATATATCTAAGAATCTCAAATATCTAATATACAAGGGTTGATCAATAAATAGTGATAATGCGATACATTTTCCATGAAAATAAAAAATAAATACTGGGAAGCATAGATATAGACAAATAAAAAAACAATGAATACTGTTTGTTTTTTTAAATAGTAATTTGTTTGTGTCGCCTCATATCGTGTTCTAAATCTTAGATGCAACATATAAATTAACTTACCAATAATTTCTCCGAAGACAAATTTTCTGTAATAATGATGGTAGAGCGCTAAGTGAGAAATAAGTGTTATTTTCTAAGTAATTACGTTGGGATAAGAATATTCTATTTCTAGTTACAAACCTGTTCGGCCCTTATCCTTTATAAATGGACTTGAGTCTTGAACATTTTCCTCGTAGTACTAATGGATTTTATATGGTATTCTAAAAATGTTACTGGTTGGTCCGTAACCTCGCCAATAATATAAATTTTTCAAAATTAGATTTATGTCAACTAATTATGGGCTTAAAGGGAAATTAAACCGAATTATATTTTTCTTACATTATTAATATAACTTATTTAATAATTGTTACAAACTAGCTGACCGGGCAAACGTCGTTTTGCCATGTATATCATTTATAATGAAAAATAGGGGTTGATCGTAGAGGGGTGAAAGTTAGGGGTTGTATGTATTTTTTAATGCTGTATCATAAAAAAATAAAAACAGAAAAAAATATCTAAAAATAAAAATAAAATATTTAAAAAAAATAGATGTTGTCCGATTCTCAGACATACCCAATATGCACACAAAATTTCATGAGAATCGGTCGAGCCGTTTCGGAGGAGTTTAACCAAAAACACCGCGACACCAGAATTTAAATATTAGATATAATTCGGCCTGTTTTAAAATTTTTAAATATTGCAATAGTTATAACATATATATTATTATAATTACCATTGTAATAATATATACGTTATCTTACATACCGTTACATACGGTAATGTTAAATAGACAAATACTACAGAAAGTATAGGAAATCTGTGAAAGCTAGCTAGATCTTGAACAAAAACTAGACATTAAATTTTTCCTAGTCAGTGAAACATGTCGAAATTTTATCTGTTTTATATCGATATTTGATATTTTTTATGATAAAGAACAAGCCTTGACTAGTGACATTTACGGATGACTTAAGTAAACTCTTTAAAAATCCAATAATGTTTTAGTGCTAAGGAAAAACTTGAAACAAATTTCAAAATTTGAATAAATAACAATTCATAAATAGTGATTACAGCAACGTTTTATTATTTATAGTATAGCTTGATCATTAGCATTTAGTTCTATACAAGTATAACAGGGCTAAAATGTTCTATCAAAAATATTTACCCTGGCCCCTAAACGAACAAGACCAAGCGAACATTATAAAAATAATATACGTAAATTGAAAGAACAAAATTTCAAAAATCGGATTTAATCCCAATTGTTTTTTATGAATATGGACGTAATTAGCTAAAACTTTTAAAGATATAATAAATAATTATGAATACTTTTCATATGAAATAAATATCAATGTAATATTATTATTTTGTATATTTTTATATATATACTGGACAACAACTTTTTAAATACAATATTTCTTCATACACGACCTTCCGATTTCTTCGACCTCTGGTGGTGAGGACAATGTGTCGTATTTGGAAA